TCAAATGACACCGCTGGTCCTGCTCACACTGCCCTACCCTATGCTTTGACTTTTTCTCCCCTCTCTCTCCAGATGAAATATTGCGACTTGTGATGGCTGGCCGCCCAACAACCTGCCCGCTTGACCCTATCCCCTCCTCTCTTCTCCAGACCATTTCCGGAGACCTTCTCCCTTACCTCACCTCGCTCATCAACTCATCCTTGACCGCTGGCCATGTCCCTTCCGTCTTCAAGAAAGCGAGAGTTGCACCCCTCCTCAAAAAACCTACACTCGATCCCTCCGATGTCAACAACTACAGACCAGTATCCCTTCTTTCTTTTCTCTCCAAAACTCTTGAGCATGCCGTCTCTAGCCAACTCTTCTGCTATCTCTCTCAGAATGACCTTCTTGATCCAAACCAGTCAGGTTTCAAGACTGGTCATTCAACTGAGACTGCTCTTCTCTGTGTCATGGAGGCTCTCCGCACTGCTAAAGCTAACTCTCTCTCCTCTGCTCTTAACCTGCTAGACCTATCCGCTGCCTTTGATACTGTGAACCATCAGATCCTCCTCTCCACCCTCTCCGAGTTGGGCATCTCCGGCGCTGCTCACTCTTGGATTGCGTCCTACCTGACAGGTCGCTCCTACCAGGTGGAATGTCTCCGCACCACGTGCTCTCACCACTGGTGTCCCCCAGGGCTCAGTTCTAGGCCCTCTCCTATTCTCTCTATACACCAAGTCACTTGGCTCTGTCATATCCTCACATGGTCTCTCCTATCATTGCTACGCAGACGACACAAAATTAATTTTCTCCTTTCCCCCTTCTGATAACAAGGTGGCGAATCGCATCTCTGCATGTCTGGCAGACATATCAGTGTGGATGTTGGATCACCACCTCAAGCTGAACCTCGGCAAGACGGAGCTGCTCTTCCTCCCGGGGAAGGCCTGGCCGCTCCATGATCTCGCCATCACGGTTGACAACTCCATTGTGTCCTCCTCCCAGAGTGCAAAGAACCTTGGCGTGACCCTGGACAATACCCTGTCATTCTCCGCTAACATCAGAGCGGTGACTCAGTCCTGCAGGTTCATGCTCTACAACATTTGCAGAGTACGACCCTAACTTACACAGGAAGCGGCACAGGTCCTAATGCAGGCACTTGTCATCTCCCGTCTGGATTACTGCAACTCGCTGTTGGCTGGGCTCCCTGCCTGTGCCATTAAACCCCTACAACTTATCCAGAAAGCTGCAGCCCGTCTGGTGTCCAACCTTCCCAAGTTCTCTCATGTCACCCCGCTCCTCCGCACACTCCACTGGCTTCCAGTTGAGGCTCGCATCTACTATAAGACCATGGTGCTTGCCTACGGAGCTGTGAGGGGAACGGCACCTCCTTACCTTCAGACTCTGATCAGACCCTACACCCAAACGAGGGCACTACGTTCATCCACCTCTGGCCTGCTAGCTCCCCTACCTCTACGCTCAGCCCAGTCAAAGCTATTCACTGCTCTGGCACCCCAATGGTGGAATAAGCTCCCCCACGACGCCAGGACAGCGGAGTCACTGACCACCTTCCGGAGACACTTGAAACCCTACCTCTTTAAGGAATACCTGGAATAGTATAAAGTAATCCTTCTAAAAAAAAGTGCTGTAATTTCTAAACGGTTCACCCAATATGGATGAATATACCCTCAAATTAAAGCTGACAGTCTGCACTTGAACTTCGTAGTCATTGTATCATTTCAAATCCAAAGTGCTGGAGTACAGAGACAAAACAACAACAAATGTGTCACTGTCCCAATACTTTTGGAGCTCACTGTATATTCAAGGGGTATCAGTACCGAGTCGATGTGCAGGTGTACGAGGTAACTGAGGTAGATATGTACATATAACTAGGAATAAATGGACAGATAATAAACATTAACAGCAGTGTATGCAAGGAGTCAAAGTTCAATGCAGATGGTCTGGGTAGCTATTTGGTAAACTATTTAGCAGTCTTATGGCTTGGGGGTAGAAGCTGTTCAGGGTCCTGGTGGTTCCAGACTTGGTACAGACTTGCGGTAGCAGAGAGAACAGTCTATGACTTGAGTGCGGTAGCAGAGAGAACAGTCTATGACTTGAGTGGCTGGAGTCTTTGATAATTTTTAGGGCCTTCCTCTGACACTGCCTGGTATAGAGGTCTCTGACCTCCTCCCTATAGGCTGTCTTGTCGTCGGAAAACTTAATGATGGTGTGGGAGTCGTGCGCGGCCACACATTCATGGATGAACAGGGAGTACAGGAGGGAACTAAGCACACAACCCTGAGGGGCCCCTGTGTTGAGGGTCAGCGTGGCAGATGTTTTGTCTACCCTCACCACCTGGGGGCATCCCGTCAGGAAGTCCAGGATCCAGTTGCAGAGGTAGGTGTTCAGTTCCAGGGTCCTTAGCTTAGTGATGAGCTTGGAGGGCACTATGGTGTTGAACGCTGAGCTGTAGTCAATGAACAGCATTCTCACATAGGTGTTCCTCTTGTCCAGGTGGGAAAGGGCAGTGTGGATCTGTTGGAGCGGTATGCGAATTGGAGTGGGTCCAGGGTGTCTGGGATGATGGTGTTGATGTGAGCCATGACCAGCCTTTCAAAGCGTTAATGGCTAATGATGTGAGTACTACGGGTCGATAGTCATTTAGACAGGTTACCTTGGCATTCTATGGTGGTCTGCTTGAAACATGTAGGTATTACAGACTGGGTCAGGGAGAGGTTGAAAATGTCAGTGAAGACACTTGCCAGCTGGTCGGCGCATGCTCTGAGTACACGTCCTGGTAATCCGCCTGGCCCTGCGGCCTTGTGAATGTTAACCTGTTTAAAGGTCTTACTCACATCGGCTACGGAGAACGTGATCCCACAGTCATCCAGAACAGCTGGTGCTCTCATGCATGGTTCAGTGTTGCTTGCCTCGACGCGAGCATAGAAGGCATTTAGCTAGTCTGGTAGGCTCGTGTCACTGGGTAGCTCACGGCTGGGTTTCTCTTTGTAATCCGTGATAGTTTGCAAGCCCTGCCACATCCAACGAGTGTCATAGCCGGTGTAGTAGGATTCGATCTTAGTCCTGTATTGGTGCTTTGTCTGTTTGATGGTTTGTTGGAGGGCAATTTCTTATAAGTGTCTGGGTTAGTGTCCCGCTCCTTGAAAGCAGAAGCTCTAGCCTTTAGCTCAGTGCGGATGTTGCCTGTATTTGTATTTATTATGGATCCCCATTAGCCGCTGCCAAGGCAGCAGCTACTCTTCCTGGGGTCCAGCAAAATTAAGGCAGTTATACATTTAAAAAAACATTACAATACATTTACAACAGATTTCACAACATATTAAGTGTGTGCCCTCAGGCTTCTACTCTACTCTACCACATATCTACAACACAAAATCCATGTGTACATGTGTGTACAGTGAGGGAAAAAAGTATTTGATCCCCTGCTGATTTTGTACGTTTGCCCACTGACAAATAAATGATCAGTCTATAATTTTAATGGTAGGTTTATTTGAACAGTGAGAGACAGAATAACAACAAAAAAATCCAGAAATACGCATGTCAAAAATGTTATAAATTGATTTGCATTTATATATATATATATGCATCTATATCGCCGTCTCTTTCTCTTCTGAGTGTCAGCGATTAGGGCCTGGTCCGGGGTGAGCAGTATGTCCTGTGCCTCCGACTCATTGAAGTAGAAATCTTCATCCAAGTAGAGGTTATTGATCGCTGTTCTGATGTCCAGAAGCTATTTTCGGTCATAAGACACGATGGCGGGAACATTATGTACAAAACAAGTTAAGATCAGCGCAAAAAAACACACCGAATAGCAGAATAGGTCAGGATCCCGTAAAACGGCCACTATACATTCCACTTCATTCTCAACATTCAATGTCTGCCATGTTTTTGGATGACTTGATGACGTTGTTGCTGCTCGCGCTGCTCCCTGTGCGCACTGAGTGCTAGTGTTGATGTTGGTCTGTATAAACCTTATGCAACCCGGATATAGACGGCCCATAAATCGTCGAATGCGAACCTGAGTAGATTACCTTGAAAACAACGGTCGGACATCTTGGACACAAACTCCAGTTCCTATTATACCTCAGTGGGTGGGAGTCATGTCCAGGAGGGATCAGCCAATCGTGAAGAAAATTGACTACTTCAAAATGGAGATCGCCTCAATGGCGCTGCACATGCTGTCACAGATGCTAAATTGGCACAGATACAAAGATGAGCCCTTTATCTATCTCTATGGTTACATCCACCTTGGGAAGGAAAAAAAAACACACTGACAAAATCTTAAAGGCCCAGTGCAGTAATAAAATCCTGTCTTTTATACAAATAGCTGATGAAACTAAAAGTGTAAAGGTTTTGATCAGCGTCACTTCACGATAGTTGATGGTTGTAAATATAATCAACAGGACCTTTGTGTCAGCAGGAGAACTGTTTTTAATAGACCAATAACAAAGAGACTTTCAAACCTCTCTGCCAATAGGAACTTGTTTTAAGCTTACAAATCCCTCCTATTTCAACTGGGCCCAGGTTATTCTCCCCCTTCCACTGCTAACTTGGTAACTTGTCCCTTTCCCCGCTATGCGTCTTATACCGCGTTCACGTGCTAGTCGGAACTAGGAAACTCAGAAATGTCCGACTTGCTGGTTGAACGCGGCACATGTGTAACTACAACCAGTTAGCAAGTCAAGAATTTCAGAGTTTCCTAGTTCCACGCCCAGACAGTCTTGAAAAATGTTCTTGAAAAATTGTGGTTAGGAAAAAAGCTTTTTATATTTTGTGGGACCATTTTAACTGAAAACAATTAAAGTAAGTAATTTATTGCTACCCAGAAATGATTTGATACAGTGTGAAGAGGCTATGGAGATCAAAGATCAAAACCGCTACCCTGAGCCATTAAAGGGGGGTTTATGGGGGAATCCTCTCCACCATTATCCTTACTCCAACTGTAGTCCTAGGTAGGCCATTCTGTCTCTCTCAGCCAATCCAGGCCAGTCTTTCTGGGGATATCACACAGACTTCCTCCTCTTGCCAAACATGTTGTTGATGAGCTTGGCCATGGACTTGGAGCTGCTGTAGCGGCGTCGGTCGGCGCGGTACTTGAGGTGCTCCATCACTTGTCTGATGAGCTGGGTGAAGAGGTTGGCGATCTCCTGGTAGCTCTCGGCCGCCGACACCTCCTGGAAGAGGCAGCGGTTCTCCTGCGCCAGCGAGCGGCCCTCCTCCTCACACACCTGCCGGGCATGGCACAGGTCCTGCTTGTTGCCCACCAGACAGACTGGCACCTCCACCTCCCTGGCAGAGTAAGGCAGAGACCGAGAGTCAGAGATGGCCACATTACCATTTCAATGTATTTCATTTGTAGAATCGAGGTGTGCTTCTAGTTTGAGTAGGTATCAGAGCAGGTATCAGAAGATTTGGCATTAGCATGTCATATGAGGAAAAAGGTTAAGTGTATGACAACCACTAACTGAATTCATGCCATACATGAAAGTTTTAGGCAAGTTTTAATAGGCAAGACATGACCGGGACTAAATGATTTCGGGGCCATTTTGGTTGAGTTCAACTACCTAATCAATCCAAGCAAGCCTTTTAGGTCTGGAAATCATTACAAACCACTGAGCTCCAGCGAAACCACCTCTGGCCTGAAACCACCTCTGGCCTGCTAGCCCCCCTACCTCTATGGAAGCACAGTTCCCGCTCAGCCCAGTCAAAGCTATTCGCTGCTCTGGCACCCCAATGGTGGAACAAGCTCCCCCACGACGCCAGGACAGCGGAGTCACTGACCACCTTCCGGAGACACTTGAAACCCTACCTCTTTAAGGAATACCTAGAATAGTATAACAGTAATCCCTAGCACTATCTATCAACTCTATCAACAGCATTATTCCAGGCAAAGTCTTTCCCAGTGCCACAGAATTCGAACTTATAGAGAAGATACACACCTTGCCCCTCTGGACATGGGTTACAAAATGCACCCTGAGACGTTTAACTCTGCCATTCACCCCATCTGTCTCCCCATCTCATTGCTCTGTCCAATAAATAAATAAATATATGAAAAGAGTGTAGATTTCCACTCTTTTTATTCAAAGAAACAGAGGTACTACTTGGATTTACAAATGGTTTTGCCTCTCACCAAGCCTCCCAAAAATGTCATTCCCTGTTCAGAGGAGCTCTCACCCTTTGCAGTTCTCAATCCGTGTCTCTCTGATCTGCCGCAGAATGTTTTCAGCATTGATGAAGGATGTTCGGTCGCTGATGTTGTACACCACCACAAAGCCATCGGCCCAGTCCACCGGCTCCTCCAGGATACACCTAGCCTCGGTGCCCTGTCAAACACAACACTGCCTCAGTTAGGTAGCTCAACACATTAGACACAAAACAGAAGAGAACGGACTGAAACAAGGGAGGAACTACCTGATCTAATAAGAAACATACATTTTCGTTAATGAACATGACTATGATGTGATTTCTTTACTGACGTTTTCTCTCAAGATTCATTCTGTGCATCCCATACAATCTACGCATGAATTATTTTCAGGTTAAATGAGAGGAAATCAGTCCTGTATCAAAACAGTGACCATGGTGTATACAGCAAAAGACAAGTAGCTCCATCACATGCTGGACCCTTTGGCTACAGGTGCTGTAAACCAGTGAACATCCAGGCTCACACCAACCTTTTCTGTTTCTCTCTTTAATGACTTCATGGCTTTTCTTTATGAAGGTGGAGGCCTTAAAGATCGAGCCAGAGGACAATGCATCTAAAGCCACTGTAGCGTTCCACGTAGGTCCTGGCTTACAGTGAGCTTTAACAGAGAAAGACAATAGATTGGCCTTTCCCCCTGTGGGCCTCAGCCTCAGGGTATTCCAATAAAGCAGAACATTGTAGTAAAAACGCTCTGAGGTCTCTGGCCTGGTTGACTAAGCACAGAGCAGGTTGTATGGCTCTCTTTCTTCAAAGGCAGTCTCATTGGCACGCACTGCCTTAGGATACACTCGTAAATCTCATTGGATTTAAAACTCTAAGGTATGGATCGTCCATGTGCCTGCCGAAAGTAAACATTAGACTGCTCCTGAGGGTTGTGCAAGGGGAAAAGCAGGTCACGGGCGTGCAGTACAACGCTACCCCAATGTTGTGACAGTGGTTGTTTAGGAAGATTTGGCCTATGTTATATTCTGTTGTACCTGAGAGCAAGAGTCGAACACATCCAGGTTCAGCTGTCTACCATTGATGCACAATGTTTCAACAACGTTACAATAACGTTACCCCAACGCTATGGCAGTTTTTTTGTTTTGTTAAAATACTGCTGTATGGAGATTTTCTGTTGTACCTGAGAGCATGGGTCAAACACCTCCAGATTCAGCTGTCTACCGTCGATGGATAGTCTTTTACGATACAGGGAATCTAGAACAGAGAAGATATCCATTAGAAACCTGTGAGTAAACTGAATTCTTTACACTATTTACCCGTACAGGGTACATACATGTGTTTCCATGTATTACATTGATGTGCAGTGATTGCTTTAAGAATAGGAAGCTCAGGTGTAATTTCTGCACCATAATTAGGCAGATGGATAATTACTGATAAATATTTATTGGTGTTGAGATATCACTGCACATATCTGTGATATTGTATCTATGTATCTGTGAGCAAATTTGCTCCACTGAAGCAGTATGTGAACAACACAATGGCCATGATGTCATAGGACCTGTGTGGAGCACTTACTGGCATTGGAGGCGTACTCCCCGATGAAGCGCTTGGTCAGGAACCGCACCAGGACAGCTGGAGGAAATCGGTGAATGAAAAATGTAAAAAAAGGTAACAGTTTATTACACACTCTGTCCAGTGAGATGGTGGAAGAAAATGTATTCTCATATGATCCCTAAGGCTTAGGATTCTGTCCCAAATGGCACCCTGTTCCCTATTTACAGTATGTTCACTACTTTTGACTAGATCCCTGTGGGCCCTGGTCAATAGTAGTGCACTAAATAAGTTGGGTGTCATTTGGGACACAGACTTGGTGAGGGGCCAAAAGCCTGAGGAATCAGGGGTTTCATCTAACCCCACACATCCAGGTTTGGCAAAATCGGCTATTTCTGCTCGTGCGCCATTCCCAGATTCTGAACACACTACCCCTCTCTGTGAGAGATGAGGTCACAGCCATCAGACTCAATTGAAGCCCCGGATTGAGTTTTCCTGAGCTCTGGTTGAAGCGCTCCAGTCCACTTGCACACACACACGCTCATACACACACATACAGTAATGCGCACACACACACACACACACACACACGCACAAAAATGCACACACGTAAGCGCAGACACAGAGGCAGAAACACAGAAACAGACACACACACCTACAATGTCAAACATTTCCTGTAAAATGTACAGTAACTTAATGGCAGCAATTGGCCAGTAAGTTACTGTAATTTATTTTACAGTAAAGCTATTGTAATCAATTTTATGGTAATCCATTTTATGGTACCAACATTTTTACTGTAATGTAAAAACCCATGCAGCGACATATAACCCAGTGTTCTTTGCAAGTTTTCATATTTACATTTACCTTTTGGTCACTCAGCGGGCGCTCTTGTCTCTAGCATCTTACATTCAGTGCCTTCAACCAAGGTTTTTTTTTTTTTTTTTATCTCATTATCTGTTCACAATGCACATTTGTGACATCTGCTGGTCAGCAATAAATAGCAGCTTGTGAATATCAGAAGGTTTTTTTCTACAATGTTTTCAGAAAAACAGCAGTAAGTCGTTGGCTTTATTAGCCTTTCATCAGTTGGAATACCAACCAGGTTCTCATCTTACATCATGCTTCCTTTTTTTGCCTTTAAGTTTACTATTTTTCAAAAACTGAATCTATGGCATTATTTAGGATGCTGAAGACATAAGCTTATACTATACTAAATAAAAAACTAATTATTTGAACAACAGTGCAGAAAGTGTGGTTTCACTGTAAACACGTTTCTAAATAGTTTGCTTCAACGGGATTCAACCTCATACTGTCACATCCCTGAACGTTCCATAGTTCCCTACTCTACCTGCTAAGCTACAGGTCAGGTGAACGTTTTTGTACAAAATCCTAAATATATTTGTAAGTACGGTGTCCAGTAGAGGTCGGTGTTTGAAAGCAGCTTGGAATCGAAGAAAGCACCAGAACTACAGTGAAATCAGTGGGATCTCGCATTTTGCAACACACTGTTTGAAAAAGCACCTGATCAAACGAAGCTTCGGACGTCACTGATGACGAACTTCTAATAAAGTGATACGTGCATTGGCACACTGCTTCAAAGTTAGCTGCTTAGCAATTTCAACGCATGCCTCGGCGCTCCGGTATCAAACGTAACATCACTAAAGATACAGTGGGGAAAAAATGTATTTAGTCAGCCACCAATTGTGCAAGTTCTCCCTCTTAAAAAGATGAGAGAGGCCTGTAATTTTCATCATAGGTACACGTCAACTATGACAGACAAAATTAGATTTTTTTTTCCAGAAAATCACATTGTAGGATTTTTTATGAATTTATTTGCAAATTATGGTGGAAAATAAGTATTTGGTCAATAACAAAAGTTTCTCAATACTTTGTTATATACCCTTTGTTGGCAATGACACAGGTCAAACGTTTTCTGTAAGTCTTCACAAGGTTTTCACACACTGTTGCTGGTATTTTGGCCCATTCCTCCATGCAGATCTCCTCTAGAGCAGTGATGTCGCTGGGCAACACAGACTTTCAACTCCCTCCAAAGATTTTCTATGGGGTTGAGATCTGGAGACTGGCTAGGCCACTCCAGGACCTTGAAATGCTTCTTACGAAGCCACTCCTTCGTTGCCCAGGCGGTGTGTTTGGGATCATTGTCATGCTGAAAGACCCAGCCACGTTTCATCTTCAATGCCCTTGCTGATGGAAGGAGGTTTTCACTCAAAATCTCACGATACATGGCCCCATTCATTCTTTCCTTTACACGGATCAATCGTCCTGGTCCCTTTGCAGAAAAACAGCCCCAAAGCATGATGTTTCCACCCCCATGCTTCACAGTAGGTATGGTGTTCTTTGGATGCAACTCAGCATTCTTTGTCCTCCAAACACGACGAGTTGAGTTTTTACCAAAAAGTTATATTTTGGTTTCATCTGACCATATGACATTCTCCCAATCCTCTTCTGAATCATCCAAATGCACTCTAGCAAACTTCAGACGGGCCTGGACATGTACTGGCTTAAGCAGGGGGACACGTCTGGCACTGCAGGATTTGAGTCCCTGGTGGCGTAGTGTGTTACTGATGGTAGGCTTTGTTACTTTGGTCCCAGCTCTCTGCAGGTCATTCACTAGGTCCCCCCGTGTGGTTCTGGGATTTTTGCTCACCGTTCTTGTGATCATTTTGACCCCACGGGGTGAGATCTTGCGTGGATCCCCAGATCGAGGGAGATTATCAGTGGTCTTGTATGTCTTCCATTTCCTAATAATTGCTCCCACAGTTGATTTCTTCAAACCAAGCTGCTTACCTATTGCAGATTCAGTCTTCCCAGCCTGGTGCAGGTCTACAATTTTGTTTCTGGTGTCCTTTGACAGCTCTTTGGTCTTGGCCATAGTGGAGTTTGGAGTGTGACTGTTTGAGGTTGTGGACAGGTGTCTTTTATACTGATAACAAGTTCAAACAGGTGCCATTAATACAGGTAACGAGTGGAGGACAGAGGAGCCTCTTAAAGAAGAAGTTACAGGTCTGTGAGAGCCAGAAATCTTGCTTGTTTGTAGGTGACCAAATACTTATTTTCCACCATAATTTGCAAATAAATTCATAAAAAATCCTACAATGTGATTTTCTGGAAAAAAAAAATCTAATTTGTCTGTCATAGTTGACGTGTACCTATGATGAAAATTACAGGCCTCTCTCATCTTTTTAAGTGGGAGAACTTGCACAATTGGTGGCTGACTAAATACTTCCCCCCCCCCACTGTATCTATGATATATTACTGACTATCTATGTATAGTGGCAATAAAATACTGAGATATTCACGGTAACTTGATGCCAGAGAAAATAAACAGTATAATACAGTAAAAGTAACTATTAAACTATAAGAAAAAAAAATCTACAGTATTTTACTGTAATTACAAGGGATTAGAGCAAGCGGATTGGCTGTAGGTATTTGCATATTACAGCATATTAATAAATACTAGGACATGGCTAGCCGTTCAACCATTAAAGGTTTTAAACCTGCTGCCTGATCTGTCCCTTATAGAGCTTTGGATAAAAGCTTCTGCTAAATGGCATATTATTATTATTATTATTATTATTATATTATTATTATTATTATTATTATTATTATTATTATTATATTATTATAGAAATTGAACACAAATACACCAAGATAATCTCTCTCTCTCTCTCTCTCTCACTCTCTCACTCACTCTCCCACTCTCACACTCACACACACAGATCCCTGCCGTCTCTGGGCTTCTAGCCTCACAGTGCAGTCGGTGCATCTCCACAGAAACCACTCTGCAGTGCAGTGTGCCAGGGGGAATGGGACACCCTGCTGTTTTATTAAACACATATATACCAGGGTCGTATTCACTAGGCACCAAACGGAAGAAAATGGTCTGCAACAGGGAGGGGCTAACCTGCACTTGTCCAATAAGAAACACTTGTTTTCATTGCAAAACATTTTCCATTGCAAAATGTTTTGCTACGGTGTGCACTAATGGGCTCTGGGCTCCCAAAGGCTGCAGTGACTCACGGAATACTGATATTTACCAGACAGGACACCATGTAGCCACAAGACTCTTAATGATTCCCCATGCCTCCCTCCACAGTCCAGATAATGAAAAACGACTGTACAGTCACTGTCCCTCCCAAGTTTCATTTCAATTGATTTATTGTGGAAAATACATGGGGTTTCTTTCACTCACAGAGTCCCTCAAAAGAAGCTGGTGCACATAATAAAGATTATGATCATTGTCATTAGTATTCACTAAAATATTGTATTTCCCTATTATATTCATATCTGGGGATATATTTATTACATTCATATCTGGGGATATATTGATTACATTCATATCTGGGGATATATTTATTACATTCATATCTGGGAATATATTAAGTGATGCTTTTCCATTAATTGCGTACAGTGATATATTTGATCAAGGGTCATTCTGTATATCCAGTACTATATGTGACCTAAATAATCATATTGAATAGTTACACTGCTTGATCCCTCATAACGGATTTGTTTTCTCAGACCACACTCCCCTCCATATCTGTATGGGTCTCCCATACATCATCACATTGTGGGACAAATTATGACAAATGGTGAGATGAAACAATTATTTACATGCTCCCACATACACTCTTAGAAATAAAGATTTCAATTTGTTCTTGAAGAGGTACAAACACGTGTCACTGGGGTGGTACCCTTTAAGGTCATCCTTTGTGCTTTTAGTTATAGTTACATGATTGTACCCTTGTTCATACCTCACCTAGTACCTTTCTTACATATGAGTGGTACAAAAGGTACAGTTTATAGGATAGAACCACAATTTTAAAAAAGCAATTTGTTCCTTGTATGTGACAAAAACATACCTCTACCATAGACTACTTAAACTGGTACAACACTTCCACTCACGTGTGGCCAAAAATAACTAACGGAAAGCCATGCCTCCATTAAGCCACGCCTCCAATATAATTTCCCAGTGTGCTGTTTCTTTTCGAGTGAATTGTAGAGTTACCATCCATGACTGTCACGCCCTGGCTCGGGGGACTCTTAAATGTTGAGTCAGGGTGTGTATTTTCTGTGTTGGGTTTGTCTATGTTAGTGTCTAGATCGTTTAGATCTATGTTGGCCAGGGTGGTTCCCAATCAGAGGCAGCTGTAGCTCGTTGTCTCTGATTGGGGACCATACTTAGGCAGCCTGTTTTCAATAGTTTATTGTGGGATCTTGTTCCGTAAGGTTTTGTGTGTAACCTAGGACTTCACGTATCGTTTGGTTTATTGTTTTGGTTCGTGTGTGTACACTAAATAAAGAATGTACGCTTATCACGTTGCGCCTTGGTCCGCTTCATCTGTCGACGATCGTGACAATGACTGTATTTGTTAGTGACAGAGACATGGTTGTTGAATTCATTCATTTTTAGCCCTGTGGCCTTCAACAAGTGAGGTCCAAGGTGAATTTTGTAATTAGGATTAAACTAATTATAACAATGAAATACATCTCATAAGGCTTTATTTTGAGGCCTACGCTTACCCTAATACAGTGGGCTGAAACTCATGTTTTACAGGCCACATCAGGCCTGCAAGTAGGGTTGCAAAATTGCACTAACTTTTCACAGTTCCAGCCATGGAAAAGTTTCCAGAATTTTGCAAACCTACCT